ATCTTAAGGCAGCCACGACTACTACTGTTCTACTACTGTAATACTGTACAGTACCAGGCCTCAGACTTGGTCGATTGTGGAGGGGAGTGTAAGCTCGGAGGACAAGTCTTCAAAATGAAGGTTTTTGGTCTTGGCAGTTATCTTGGAGTGATCGGGGCCAGGTTTCGAGCATCTGGTGATCCCCAAACACCCCGACCCGGCATTCGCGGAGCACCGCAGACCCTCCACCCATCCCCGCCCCAAAGCCTTCGGACCCCCCGAAACCCTTCTAAGTTCGCCAAGGCCACCCAGGCCGAAAGCCAAAACATGGTCAGGGATAGCATAGCCGCACACGAATGGTCGGGGGGGCGGGGGGATGGGAGGAGGGGCATCAAAGAAGCCGCCATATTTAGAGGCTTACCTAGACCCCCCCAATTACGCTCTTACTTTTTGTTGACATTAACTTGGAGGCCCAGGGGACTAAGCAAGTAGGTTATAAGTAGAGTTATAAGTAACCTAAATGCAGTTACCCCAATTATAACCCTACTTATAACTTATAACCGACTTGCTGGGTCCCTTGGGCCTCTACGAAGGTCTCCATTAAAGGTTGGGGGCCCTCGTAGTGTGTAGGGTTTAAGGGCCACTGCACCCAAGCGTCTTCGACCCAGACCTTCTAGGATCCCTTGATGTAAGGAACGTTAAGTTGCCCTGAGATTGAAATAGGATCTAAACCTTAATCCGTAAAACCTAAACCCTAAACACTAAACCCGAATCTGATGTAAGGTGTATTCCGCAGTTCCGGTGATATCTTTGAAGATCTTGAAAGTCCAGGGTTCAGGTTTGCAGCTGTCCCTTTCTAGCAACCTGCCGAAAATCAGTCAAAGAGGTTTAGGGTTTAGGGTAGGCATAGGGCGCTGCAGCCCCTGCTCAAAAAAGGGTTTATAGGGCGCAAGCTTACTAGGACTGAGCCCTAAGAACTGTACCGTGGACCATGTAAGGTCGGCATCCGCGAATTTCATCAGGATGCTGCAGCCATTCGGCGAAAGCTCGTAGAGGGCTTCACCATGGAGGGTTGGGCCTGAGGGCCCACGACAAGTAGGTGGTACTTGATAACCATATAGTCTCCCAGATATTAAGCTACATAACTGCAATCCCAAACCCAGGCAAGTAATTATTCAGGCCTTTGGACTCTTAGGGTTATGCAGTCAGATCATGATTCAAAGATTTGGCATCAGGATTTTGAGGTCCTGGTTGCTAACGCACCACCTGCTCGAATTGACCGCTAGCCGCAAGTGGGGGTGTCTATGGCCATGACAGTAAAAGCTAGTAACATCCTCTATCAAGATGCTCCCAACCCTTCTTTCTACTTGCAAGTACTTGCGACCCTTAACAGCAGACTCTCATGCCAACAAACGTATGACAGCGTTTCAGAAAGCCAGATTCGTTTGACAGGTGGTTCTGTTAGTAGGGTCAGCCTTTGCTGCGGGCTTGGGTCTCGGATGTGAGTATTGTGAGACCCAGGCCCCAAACACCAGACCCTGTCTGAAAGGATCAGGGTTGAAGGTTTCCGGTTTGCGGTTAAGGGCTTAGTAAGAGAACTTAGCAAGCAGGTTGTAGGTAGAGTTAAATGCAAGAACTCTAATCAGGATACCTGGGGAGACCCCTTAAAGGGACCCTTCTTAACCCTATGTATGGCTCTCTAAAAAGGGGATCTTGTTTGAGTAGGTCTGTATCCCCAAATTGTCCCCCCAATCCTAACTCCCACTACTTCCTATGACCCCTTGAGCATCCGTTAAGGCCCTGAGCCCTCGAACCTTCTCCGGACTGCGTGCCCTAAGACTTCAGGGACCACTCAACTCCTCAGCTTTTGAAGCGCAACCCCACAACCCCTAAGCCCCATAACACGTCAACGCCCCAAGCCCTGCCTGATAAACCCTAGACCCCTAAACCCTAAACCCCAAACCCTAGACCCCTAAACCCTAAACTATGAAGCTGACAGCCTCGAGGCTGTGGGGCCTTTGATCATGGCCGACCTCCCTTCGTCCACCTTAGGCAGGCTACTTACAACTGAAGGATTTATGTAGGGGCCTTCATTTAGGGTTTAGGGTGCAGATTTTCTGCAGTTGTGTCAGGGCTTCGGACTTGCCTCTGCTTCGAACATCATGAAGAAGTCAGTACCAGAGGGTCGGAGGTTTGAGGATGCTAGGGCGCTAGATTTGAGAGTTTTGGGGGGGCAGTAAGAAGTCATGTTAAGCCAGCCTGGGTGTAATGTCCGTTCTCCAAGACTTAGCGCCCAATAGAACCGCAGACCCTCCCCATGTGCGATGGACCTTTACCTGCTGCACTGCTCAATTCCCAGGGTTGTTGAACCAGAAGACTCTTCGCCAAGCCCTCAAAACCCGAAACCGTAGACCGCCACAACCCAACACACTCCAAACTTTGAAGCCACATCCTGCTCAAAACTTTGATCCTGAAGCCCTAAACCCTAAACCAAAAGCTCTAAGTGGAGTGTGAGCAGGAGCCCGACCCACTCACCACTTCACCTTTGTATTTGTCGCTTCTGCCGACGAAGTACACCTGTGGGATTTCGGATTTATGGTTCCCCCTACAGGATTGCTGGGTTTTCCTTAGGAAGCTTTCCGTTTTTGTTGTAACATGAATGAAACCTATGGACCTATGGCGGGCGAAACAGCCGCTGAGGTGTACGGTGTATCCCAAGTCTGCCCAAAACCCAAAACCCAGGTTTTTGTCAGGATCCAATTACCATCACAAAAGGGGGCCCGGCCTAAGTTTAGGGATTTGGGGGTTAGGGTATAGGGGTTTGGGGTTTACTCGTGGACTCAAGAGCCAAGTGGACTGCAACAGTAAACCCGTTTGGGTTGATGGGTGCTTTTGCTCGCCTCTCTTTGTTTTGAAGTTTTCTGCCTGCCGATACTCGTTTCTGTGTTGGGGCCCCACCCTATAAGCCCTAAACGGTCCTGTAAGCCTAAATCCTAAAAGCCTCAAGCGGCCCTAAGCCCTAAACTCCTCGTATGCCCCCACAGCTCTTAGGGCTGACTTAGTGTTGTCAAAGGAGGAGAGACCCTATCAGAACCTGATAGCTCCCATATCGAACCTTCTAAAGCCCCCCCAAAGTTAAAGGAAACTACAGGTGGGGAGTTTAGGGTATATAGGGCGTCTATAAGGCTTCTATAAGGTATATAGACCTTCTAGAGGGCTCCTATAACCGAAACTACCCACCTGAACATGTCCTAGACAAAGAGGCTCCACGGAAATGGCCCCATCGGATGAAGAGCGAGCAGGCCCGATGGTTTCGGCTTGCAGTACTTAGAGGCCCCGGGTAGGGTTATAATTGGGGTAACTCCCTTTAGGGTACTTATAACCTACTTACTATGTCCCCTGAGCCTCCAAGTAGAGGGCTGTGGCATTTCTTGTGGCTGGTTTGCATGCATATAGGGGCCCAAATAATTACCTATACTATTTTGGGGGTTCCTTATTATTGTTATAGTATAATGGGCCCCAAAACCCTGTTCTAATTATGACTATGATTATTAATATTATTATTAAGGCCCCTACATTAGACTTCTGAAGGCGGATCATGGTTTCAACCTGATGCGCGCTTGCATTTTCCATGCGTTATTCTGAGGGCAACACATGATGTCCTAAGCCCTAACCTCAATTATATGGGTGGTTGTCAAAATTATGGTCCCTTTTTGGGTCCTTGTTATAATACTGCACCTATTATTTAGGGTACCCCAAAAGGGACCATAATTTTGACAACTACCCAAGTATATTAAGTACAGGCATAAGTAGAATGAGTTGGACTTTCCTTGAGGCGTCTCTTCAGGATGTTCCTGCCGTAAAGTTCCAAAGCCGTCATCAGCAAGACCCACTGCCGATACTGCTCGTGTAGTGATGTTCCTGGCCTGCCTGTGCTGGAACCGTGCTTGAGGCTCAGTGGATGCAGCTGTTGGGCTCAGGAAGAGATATTGCCGTGACTCTCATTACAGATCCTGCGCTCGATCAGATGTACTTCGCTCGCGAGCACCTTGCGTTTGATGATGACCTGCTCTTCGGGAGGTGGTCTCGTTTGTAGGGCATAGCAAGGCTCCTCCAATCGCAGGGTTCTTTTTGACAAAGGTGGCCTGAAATAAGGACTGCTTGCTTTCGGAAAAAATAAGGATGTTGCCGCAGAGTACCGTTGGATTCTTCGCAAGGCCTTTGCCAATGCTTTCAGGGTGTCATGTTGAAGCCATGGAAGGTTTGAGAAAATAGGAAAAGTGTTTGCGGACGACGTGGAGCAAGCCTCCCGTAAACCCTAAACCCTATAAGCTCTAAGCCCTAAACCCCAAACTCTAAACCCTAAATCCCCAAACCTAATTAAACCCCTAAACTCTAAACTCTAAACCCTAAATCCCTAAACCCTAAACCCCTAAACTCTGAACCCCGGATCCCTAAACCCCTAAACTCCTAAACTCTAAACCCCATAAGCAGGTCTGATTCCGACTACGAAAGCGATGGCGACCTCTTCCTCCCGAGGCGTCGGAGCCTTTTCCCTCGCGTTCCCCAGGCCGATTCTTTCATCAGCCTCCAGGCACGGCAATGTAGAGGCCTGAATAATTACCAATCGTATTTTTTGGGGGGTCCTTACGGGGTCCTTATTTTGAAGTATAATGGGCCCCAAAACCCTGTTCTAATTTTTAAGGCCCCTACAGTACATCGTATCCTTCCTTAATTTCCTAATGGCATTTTTGTTATTGTCGAATTTCATTCTTTCCTACATATTCTCTTAATGGCTTTTATTATCATCGAATGTCATTCTTTCCTACGTTTGAACTCTATGAGACTCTATGAACTAATCAGTACTCTATGGGCCCAGGATCCTCCTGCAGAGTAACCCACTCATGCCCAGGTGGTGGACTGCTACTTCACCCAGGACACGGTGGCTTGCCGGTTCCGCCATGGGATCAAAGCTGGGGCTTTCCTCTCGGATGTGGTCGCGGAGGTTCGAGCGGGTGTCATCCACCCCAATGACATGGGCTTAACGGTTTTTGAACACGCTGGTCGGTACTACACCTTCAACAACCGCACGCTCTATGTGATGAAGCATGCGGGTGTCAACATGGTAAGAGCGAAGCTCTGGAACCGGCCAAACAACTACCATTCACGCATCTGCTTCGGAAAGAACGCAGCGATGCGCTAGAGTAGCCGCTGCCGTAGAGTCAAAACACGCAAGTCGTCATGTATGAATGAAGAAGTATCCTGCTTTGGCCCTAGCTACACGTCCAGACCGGGTGCACATTCGTCAATAGTGTACTATTGTAAGTGCCATCCCTTCCTCTTCCAGAACCTGTTGTCTGCACATGCTGCCTTCCTTGCAAAGAAGGCCAGGCATGTCGCCTTCACTGTGCAAGCAGATCTCACTGCATGCGTCATGCGAGTCATGGGTGGGTGCATTGGGAGGACATCAGGTTGAATGAAGGGCGGAAACTAGGGCTGTTCCTCTGAGTTCTAAATTGGTGCCTTGTGTCTCCTTGCCCACCCGGCCATGCTTCATTCATACTTCTGAACTCAGAAGTGTTGATGAGCACGTACTGAGCTCGCCGCTGGTGGAGAAAGTGCGTGGTGCAGCGTCCAGGGACGTTCGAGCGGTGTCGTCTGGATGGTCTTCAACTCACGAGGTAAGGTCTATGCTGACGTCGGCATGGTCATTTTCTCTACCAAGTAATCACTGCAAGGCAGGTCGTCGAGACAGGAACAAGCTGGTGGGCACGATTTTTGAGGGGTCGAATTTGAGCAAGTTGGTTGTCTTGCTAAGCCCTAAACCCGAAACCGTCAGCTATAAAACACATGTTCAGATCTTTGTCTCGGCCGTATCATGCTGGGTCACGAAAAGGATTGCAGGCCTGGCATGTTTGACTTACAGTATTCCCGAGACACCCTAAGCCTCAAACCCCAAAAACTAACAGCCACAGCCCTGATCCCCACAAGCCCTGCACCTTAAATTCAAGCCTTACGGCTCCAAGTCCACAGTAGCCCTGGTCTCCATCAGGCAATCTTGACTGTGATGTCATCTTCGATGTCACTAGCTTGGCCGTCTTCTTCGTTTCAGACAGGCTACGGCAACATTCTGAAGAGACTCGGCTGTCAGAAAGGGCTGTCAGAAAGCCCCCACGCCTCTTTATTCATTCTCTTTAGACTTATTATTTTGGGATACATAACTCTATAACGCTTAAAGGTTCAATTCTATGACCTGTAACTTTGAGTTAAGAGATATTCCGTACCTTGCGTTATCAGCAGAGTTTCAAGCTTCTTTTGCTTGTCTTCCCGGCTGAGGAGACTTCAGCCAGTAGGGCCAGAAGGGTGCATGTCTCTAGGGGTTAAGAGGAGAGCCTTGACATGCCTTAATTTGCTTTGAGTAGGGGGAAGTAACTGATAGTGTGATTATATACATACTATAAGGAAGCATTAAGACCGAAAGTTTGCGAGTTCAGGGTTTCGCTTTTTGGAAACCTCAACTTCAAGGTTCGGGCCTGAGGCTACGAGTGGCATTTTCGCAAACTCTTTAAATCCCCTAAACCCTATAAACCCTAAACCCTAAAAGCCCTAGGCCCTAAACCCTATGATTTCTAGAAACCCTAAATCCCCTAAACTCTATAAACCCTAAACCCTAAAAGCCCTAAACCCTAAACCTGTTTTTATTTCAAGAAGAAGGAGCTTTGGCACAACACCGCAGACCTTGGGACGCTCTACGACTTTCCTGGAAGCGGGGGTCAGCAATCGCTGGTGGCGCAGGCGAGAACAAGGGAACAGGAAGACAGAAGAATGAGAGAAGAAGATAAAGAAAACGAAGGAGAGGAAACCCTAAACCCTAAACCCAAACCCCTACACCCTAAACCGAGAAGAAACAAGGAAGGAAAGACGAACCAGGAGAGGGCAGAGCACAGCCCGGAAGCTGGCGCGTGAGTCTGCTGGAGTCCCTCTTTAGTTGCATTAGGGCCAAAGTATCTTCTATGTGAACCTATAAGTCTACATGGACCCTTGGGGATGAGTGAGACCATCTTCGCCGGAACCCCTGTGCGATTTAGTGCCACGTAGGCCTTTCTGAGATAGTTCAGATTTTCTCCGAACGTGCTAAAGAGGAGTGGGATTGTGTTTACGAATGTTTTTGGGACTCTTGGAAGGGACAGGCTAGAATCACGTTCAGGCTTTGGGTTTAGGGTGTAGGTATAGGGGTCGGAAGAACTGATAATGCCCAAGAAAGGAACAGCATGATGATGATGATGATCATCATCATCATCATCATCATGATCATGACACCACCCCTCTCCCCGAAACCCCCAAGCAGACGCATACCCACCACACCGCAGCCCAAGCAGACCCAAACCCGAACTCCACCACACCTCGGGGACGAGGGGGTACCAACCATTGGGGCCAGGTCGCACCGGGATAATAGATACGACTATTATGGAACTAGGTCCCCAACACCAAAACAAGGCCGGTCTTTTGGGACCGAATGATCTAATTGTTGTATGTGGACCCTCTGGGTTAGGAATCCTAGACTAGAGCGGACTCCGTCTGAACGTTAGACCTGGGATTTTAAGCGCTTTAAGGCTTAGCTTCGGAGGATTTGCTACTTGAGGCTTCGAGGGAATTATCGCGAATTGGCTTTGCGCGTGCAGATGTCCGGGACTTGCTGTCTCAGCTTCACGAACTCTCCAAATACCTCCGAAGCCTATCTAAACCCCAGACTCGCCCAAACATTCCACACCCCAAGCCCGCAATCCGTACTCCAAAACCCCGAACCAAGGAGAAAAGGAGGCCCTCAAAAAATACAGAAACACCACAACCCGAAGCGCCACAAGCCCAAGATTCCAAGCACGCTTGCCGGCAGGTGCAGCTAGCAATCAACCAGGCAGACACCCCATAAAATCCTAAATCCAGACCTCAAAGTGGAGTTGCTTTGGGTTTAGGGCTTAGTTAGAGTTTCGCATTCCTTTGAGATTTAACCGTCCTTTAAGATCAGACAGCGGGTTCAGGATTCAGGGTTGTAGGGTTTATGGTTATGAGGTATGACCACGGTAGGATGTCGGGGGTTTAGGGTAGAGGGTTGCCGGGATTCCTGAAATCCGGAGTCCGTTTCTTCAGGGTTTGGGGAATTTGAGGGCCTCTGTGCATGGAGGATCCCTTAATTTTCCGAGAGCCCCAGGTTGCAATAGGGTTGTAGGGTTTAGGATTTAGGGTTTAGGACTTAATTCCCTAAAGCCCTGAACCATGAACCCGAAGACCTAATCCTCAAGTGTTGAAGCAGCATGGCTTTGTGGTCAAGCTCCGGGGTCTCGACCCCTGAATATAAATCCACTTCGAGGGTCGTGGGTAGTAGTGTAAACACTTCATAAGTGTCACAAGTGTCTTAAAGGGTTTACAAGTGTAGTTGCCTTCAGTTTCTTTGGTCCGAGCTTTAGTTGCCCGAGAACCTTCAACTAGCTGGTAAAGAATAGCGTTCTTTTAAGTGGGTAGTTGTCAAAATTATGGTCCCTTTTTGGGTCCTCCTTATAATACGGCACCTATTATTAAGGGTACCCCAAAAGGGACCCTAATTTTGATAACTACCCAAGTGGCTAAGAGCAGTATCGAGGTTTCGGCTGGTGAAGAGAATTGCTAAACCCTAAATCCGCAGCCCTGCACCCTTGGGCTGAAGTCTGAACCCTAAGCTTCGGCTCGGTTAGATGTGACCTTTAGAAAGCCTCCACAGTAGACATGGGATCCAGAAACTAGGGCCTTTTGGCTCCGACTCATCCCCCCAAAACCCTCAGCCCGTTTGGCTCCCACTCTGTGTTATGCATTGTCCGAGTTTTGGGCTTTTCGGGGCTTCGGGGGGTCTAGGGTCGGCTTAGGGCGGCCCAGTCTTACCCCCTAGGCCGCATAAGTTTTTAGGGTTTCGGGCTTTTTTTTTGTTGTTTAAGGGGTCTCCTTGTGGAGAAAGGGTGGGTCCTTCCTAAACCCTAAACCCTAAACCCTTCTACAAGGGGTCACTTGGGAACCAGCACCTGCCAGATTGTTGGTAATACACTTCGACAAGCACATTGAGCCTGCCTTCGTGCGGCTATTGCCGTCAGAAATTCCCGGGACCCAGTCCCGAAACCCTGAACCCTACTTGCCCAAGAAAAGAGAGTCGCAGCCGGAAGCCCGATACCAGGGGTCCCCCAAAAGAAAAAAGGACCCTAAACCCTAAACCCTATCTCGTGGAATGTAGGGTTTCCAAATTGCACAATTTATGATACTTTAGGGAAGTATCCCCCCCCCTCCCCCCCAAAAAAAAACAGTACGTAGGACCCCTTTGGGTTCTGGAAGGTTGGCAGACAGCCGAGTCCCCGCATCCACTTTCAGAATCTACACCTGCTCGGATTTGAGGCGGGAGATGATAGGATTTAGACATCGCAGTCCCATGTTCGTTGGACCCCTCAGGTGATGACACTTTAATTTAGGGTTTAGGGTTCAGGGTATAGGGTTTAGGGTTGAGGGTTTAGGGCATTATCCTCACTATTTCAGGTCGGGTGGAGTTTCTGAGAGGAGTTGGGATTGATATACTGCAGCCGGAGCCTGAGTTTGAATCACTCTCATCCCCGGGGCGTCCTGTTTTACCCAGTTCCTTTTTGGGATTACCTTATAGCCTTATAGGATACTTCAAAAACACCACAAAAACGGAACTGGAATGGAGCCTATGGGTATTCAAGCCCCCAACAAAAACCCTTCGATCCCTGGTCTGGTCACTCCGCGAGCCTACTTTGCGGGGCTACGGAAAGCTTCGGGGTTCCCATCACGGATTTGATTCTGTGAGAGAACCCGAAGGGTCCATGTAGCCAAATGGGTGGTTGTCAAAATTAGGGTCCCTTTTGGGGTACCCTAAATAATAGGTGCCGTATTATAATAAGGACCCAAAAAGGGACCCTAATTTTGACAACCACCCAAATAGTATATACTTTGGTCTTAAAGTAAACCCGATTTAGGGACTTCGGGGCCAAAGTATACACTATTTGGGCACATGGATCCTTAGGGGAAGAGGTGAACGGAATGATCTGGGGAGGTTGAAAAGCCGGGTTTAGGGCTTAGGGAAGACTTTTCACTTTTGTAGGGATTGGGTGTGGCCCATACCTAAAGCTCATAAGCCGCCAAACCCAATAATGCCGCAAACTGCGAACT